GGTGTATAATCACGGGAACCTCCGAACTAATCGACCAACTTTTAATTCTTTCTGGTGCATTTTTGTCCGGGATGTCTGTAGGATGTTTAGCCACCGATGACTGCCCTGTAATAAGCAGAGCACTCTTTATTATCTATTCAAACGAACATCGTATAATACGTACGTTACGAGCTCATATATTGCCAAAATGCTTACGGAGATAAGAGTAAAAAAGTATAATATTATCAACATTTTGCTACGCGCTGAGAAAGAATAATAAACTGAGAGCTACAGATCACAAATGAACATGCTTATACGGAGAAGTAAAGCGTCAGTGAATACAAATACAGGGCCATAAAGCTATGAAAAGTAAAAACATAGCTATTCTGATCCATAGTGCACTTTTTATTCTCTACCTTGTACCAAGAGTTCAATATTGGCTTCGCATAAGTTTGTATGACCTAGTTAACGAGTTATAAATAACGGTCATCTCTAGCACCCTAAATATATTAAAACTACGAAGCAGTGGCAGTCCACAAATTAGTGAGCCAATGAAAAATAAAGATTGGGGTTGCTGCAGTGTTTTCAATATTTAACAGTCGTGTTTTATTTGACGTTTGTAGCTATTTTTTTATTCATTTGGTTGATGAGCGATGAATGTTAAAGTGCAGTTTTTACATGAAATTTCATTGTAAGCACCTGAAGTTCTATGAGGGCTAAAAAGGTCAGCGAAAATTCGGTAACGCGAATGTGAAGAAAAAAGAGGACAAATACATATCGTTAGTGTCCATGGCCGAGAAAAGAAGTCTTTCCTTTTAATATAACATCTGTGGAGGAAATGTAGTCATAGTTACACAATCCTCAATGCTGAACGTCAAATAACTGGGAATATATGCATTCAACACCTAACATGAGAATGCCAACAAAGGTGAGCGCGGGAATATTCATCCATTCAAACAAAAGCCATGGCTGAACCTCTCAGACTTGGTCATTCTGTAAAACTTGTCTTTATTTACATTAAATATATTATCGTACATTCAGCTTAAAAGTGTTTTTCAGAACTACTAATTATCGTATTGTTAATTATTACGATACGATGAGTCAGTATAAACAATGATGTGACTTCCACGTAAGATCATGTAGATTTGTTGGTCACATCATGACAAATCTATACTTTTAGGATTGAGTCTATTATTATTGTAGTACTTATAACGAACTAGACCATAATTCAAAAGAGAGGTTACATGCCAATGAAATTATGACACCCACTTAACACCACCAATTCACAATAAACCTTCACAGTTTATGCGTTTGACACATATATTATGTGTATCTGATTAACATTTCTTACAATTTGAGCACAATATACTTCAAATTCAACTTTTAGATAAAATAAGTTCTCTCATTTCAAAGACAGATTCGACCAAAATGATGGCAGGTCGAATTAGAAGGGTACAAACCATTCCCTTCTCAATATGGAAAGAATTTCGTCTTTTCCCTGTTGGTATTGAAAGAAGAGAAATACGAGTAACAAGTAGCTTTTGGCATGGATAACATATACATAAAAATCAATACTAGATCTGAAAGCAGGGGGAAAGTTATAAATGCGAGGCCAAATCCCTTTATCATTTTTACTGTTCAGTATGATGAGAAACTGACAGGCCAAAGACTCCTTGATTAATAGATGTAATAATGTAGCTTGCTAGGGTAGATGTCTAGATCATACCCCTAGATCATATCCCTAAGTGCGCTGGCGAATTTTGTAGGAAGGCGAAGGCAGCTTTCATTAACACAGAAGCAAAAGTTCAGAGCTCTCAGTAACAAGATGGAATCAGAAATGTCGTTAGTGTAGTTGACGCACAATAAAAAGGTATCTCTGTCAGAGTTTCTAACATAATCCCGAAACTAACTTGGGTCACTATCAAGGAAAATCATGTACAAAGTATAAATCAGTGAAAGAAACACTTACAACGTCTTGGTTTGTTCAGGTTAGTTGTGGTTAGCAAATGCCCACTGCCCCATCCTACATATCACAAATTCTGACGTTAGTTTGTCGGAATCTATAGAATATTGTCTTCATTTAGTAGATTGTGGGATGATATGGTACAGTGTAGAGCCGTGGTCTCTACGATTTTATCGTATGGACATAAATCTTTCATTTAACTCCGCATATGACGACGGTAAGAAGCCAAACAGGGGTTGCATTAGAGGAATTTGTTTCAAGCATTCCTTTATTCAAAGAAATTTAGAAGAGCAAAACAAAGAAGGCGAGTGAAATAGTTTGTTGTGACCGAACGTGACTCAATATTCATAGTCCGACATAAATAAGCTGCATACAAGTAATGAATAGGATGAGCAATTAGCACGCATACACTCGCGTAAAAGCAGTCAAGGTTGATAAGCAAATAATTAACAAGATGAAAATGTGACTAAAGAACAGTGAATAAATTAGTCTGCTCGGAAGTTAAAATAACCCATATGGGCTTGGTATAGTATCAGACATTATGAGACTACAAAATGGTAGACGCCGAATAGCAAGAAATTACATTTACACTTCGGTAGATAAGGGCAAATTTTGATTTGTCGTGCCTGATTTAATGAGGTTCTTGCTTCATTTGTTGGCATCTTTGATAATAAATCTTTTTGTCGGAATACCCTCAAACGACTTTGATGAATCTTCTTTGAACACATTCATTATTCCTCAAATCAATATGCACTCAATTACTGTAAACTAGAATGCCATATTCAAGGATGGGTATGACATATTTTTATATAATCCTCCCTATCCGATGTTAGTAAAATTTATACGTATGGATCCAATGAGCCTTCTTGCTTCAGATACTTACGGTGCAGTTTACTCGGAAATGTTCAGTATGGTGCTATACCTCAAACCCAAGTCATGAACAGTGTTGGGGATTTAAGTACTTGTTTGTGTAGAGCCGAATTCGGGTTATGGCTGCGTCCAGTGTACGGTAATTGACAGATTCCACTACACAACCCACCGGTATAACTTATTTATGTCTTTTAAGATTACCGCTGAACTATAGTTTTCTTAATAAGAGGCGAGAATGAATAGACTGCATTTAAATCATCAGCAATCAGGAAAGTTTTACCGGGTCGAAAGAATGGGCATACGTCATTGACGAAGAGGGGAAAGAAGAATAGGTCAATTATACTTCCTCGTTTAACTCCACTGGTTACATTAATAGATTTTAAGTAGCAAGATCCATAGTGAACAATATGGCTAAGTTCTACCAAAAAAGACATGAACCAAAATAAATGAGGATTCTCTATGTCAAATGAAGGAAGTTTCAGAACGAGGTTGTGTGAGACAGCATTGAAGGTCTTACTAAGGTCGAGTTACAGAGTTATCACTGACTGACCGACATCTCTTCTCTGAGTAATTTTACCAAAAAATTCAAAGTAAGATATCCACCATGAGCGTCTAGTAATAGTCATATTTTGGGATGAGCTAATCAGACTTGCCGAATGTAAAAATGACAGTGACTGTTTGTAGATAACTTTCCCCATGATTCTTGATTGCACGGATGTTAAGTTGACGTAATCGCTGAACCTCTAGCCATACTGTCTGATTTGTCTCTGCAGCAGTCCTGACTGCCCAGAGACTAGAAAGACGCAATAATTAGTCCGGCGTATAAGGCGGTAACAAAGACTTATTAATTGTCGACCCGTCAGTCTAACCAGTGTGGTCACCAGACTAATGGAAAAGATTATTTAGATGGCTGTTAACAACGATGTATGAGATCATAATCTTTTATTCAGGGAATAAGACGGTTTTCGGAAAGTCCCATCATGCTTGACATTGGTCATTGCAATGGAAAATTCGGTTATAGAAAAAGATTGAAATATTCCTGTACATGTAATTACTAAAGATTTAAGTAAAGCCTTTGATGAAGTCTTCGGTTCGGGTCCTAAATTAAGACGGGAATGTTTGGAAATCTATTATAAGGTCGTAGATTGTGACTTTCTCACCGATTGGAGACAGAGGCTAAGGGTAAATGAAGCTCACTCAGCATGAGGATCTGTAAAAAGAGGAATTTTCCAAGGTGCAATCCTTGGTCCACTTATCTTTACACTTTATGTAAGTGAATTACCAGCTGAAACAAAGTCATTCATTCTACTTTTCGCAGAGGACATAAAGATTTGGAGACCTATACATAGTATGTCAGATAGAATAGTATTACAGTGTGACCTCAACTCATTGGTGGCATGGGTGGGCGGATGGTCACTAGAAGTGAATTCTGACAAGAAAGTGGTGATGCAGTTAAATGACTATGATGATTCGTATCACTTTACTGTATGTGTTGTGTTACATAATATAATGGACCACAAAAATCTAGGAATCATAAAATATTGCAACCTGAAAACTATGAGCAACTGTAAGGCTGCTGCTAAAGGCTTTAGGATATTCAGGGATATTCGTAGGTTTTTTCAGTATTTCGACGAAGAAATTTTTAGAGCATTATATCCGACTTTCGCGAGACCGCATATGGAGTATGAGACTCAAGCACCAAATCTTTGTTCCAAGCATGAGGCAGATATTCTGGAAAAAAGTTAGACGGCGAGGGGTCTGAAATGGTAAAAGGTTTCTGTGGCCTATCTTATGAAATCAATCTGCGATGTCTCAACCTGTTTTTGTATCTCACCTCGAATTTCGAGGTGACCTAATATTGACCTATCGGATGCTAAACGTTGATCATAGTACTACTGTATCTTATTTTTTCCTTCCATCTAAAACTGATGATCTGAGAGGACCTTATACGAAATTTTGAAGACCGAGATCAAGTTGTTTGCGTCTGGAGTTTCGTTTCTCGCACCGAGTAGTGAATTATCGGAATTCTCTTCCAGAACACGTAATATCAGCACCTTCTGTCGATAGATTCAAAACGAGATTAAACTTCCATAGTAATACAAACTGCAAGGATTAATATAAGTCGATAGACCTCCTATCCTTATCACCGAAGATTGGTATTGTACTTTGAATTAGATTTGGTTTGTTTGGAGCTATCATTTGGAAGGTCTCCAAAACAGATATTCTATGAACGGGACTGTCCGTTTGGAAATGTTTGTCATTTATATCTTGTTTTTGTATGGGACTGGAGTAGTTTATTCCAATTTATGTCCTAAACAGTGCTTGCCGGGATCCTGTTGCGAAGTTGAGGAAAATGATTTCAGATGCTGTCCTTATGATAATGTATGTTTCAAATGATATATAATATTCTCATATGACCTCTCAGGGTGTATGTTGTAGTGATGGCAGAAACTGCTGTCCTCAAGGGACAAAGTGCGATTTGGAACTCGGTCATTGCCGTACTCCTAATGGGGCTGTGTTACCCTCCAAACATATATCAGAGGTGAATGTTCTTGTTTGCATTTTGTTTCTATATGATATGTAAGTGTTACTATGTAAGTGAATCTCTTTACTTTTCTGACCCTTTACTAGCATTTAGATAAAGTTCGTCTCTCCCCATGGTTTTTATCCTGAAGTTTGCTATTTAGAAAGTTAAAGCGAACTTTACACAAGTCTTCTGATGAAGACAAGGCGTCTAAATTTGTGTACTTTTAAAGCTTGACTGCCTTTCCTACAGGGTATTAGGTTGATCACATTTTAGTAGGCCGATACCTCACGATCGTGAGGTTCGTGCTGAGATTTTCCCATTCAATGATTTTGTTAAGACGCAAAATAAAATATGGCTAGTTTTCCTTTCACTAAGTTTGTTACGTGAAAATGAAATAATCAATACCCCCAAACACCAGATACAACAGAAACAAATATATAACTGTTCTTATGATAATTAGGGTTTACAGAGGCTAATCATCCCTATCTTGATGTTGTTCGGCATCTTTGTTCAACATATTTGTGTTATAACTGACTGAGCGATTTTTTGTGGCATAGTGTTATCATCAGACTTTCAGGTTCCACTTCTTAAACATAAGCAGAATGCCTTTAATCCGCATCGTGTTCAGTAAGGTTGTTTCACAATTTGTGTAAAGTAATAAATGATGTATGTGAATACGTGCAAAGAAAAATTCTGTGGGCTTGAGACCCAAGATCCTTTGTAACTAGCATCCTAGTAACATAAGATCAAAGACTTGAAACATTAAGTCAACATCGCTCTGTATGCTTGGATTAGACTAATAGTAATGTAAACCAATTTAAGTTCACTTAAGGAGGCCCCGATATTATTCCAAATTAATAAACTATACGATATGTCCCAGTAATTTTTTATTTGCTGAACGACCTAGTCTCTTTCGAATCTATTTTTGGCTTGAAATCATTAAAATACAGCATCGCACAGTTGTAATACGTAGAATACCCAGTAAACAGAGCTTTACTGTATTATTTGGCAAAATCTCAAATCATGTGGTAGTACTTTGCGAGTATTCAGTGACCATAACCAATTCCGATTTTTATCATCCGTTCCGGAAAAATTCTTGTGTAAATGTTCAGATCACTGAGTAAATATCAATACAATTAAAGAAATACATCGTTGGTATTTGTTAATTCCTATTACTTATGGTGTCGATTAGTTCAAGTTTTGAAGTCCTAAATATTTATTGTGATACATTAACACTGAAAAACCTGATTAAAGTACGAGATAAGTCTCCACTTATTCTTACGATTTGTCCCAAAGAAGTAAGCATAAATTCTTAGTTGAGAATAAAGTTACTTTCTACGCAGTTGGTAACTACTGAACTTCCTCGAGTTCACTACAAAGATGAACGATTAAAAATGAACCAAGATGTACAGGCAGGGAGAAAGAATTAGTTTGTAGAAAGGATAGGTGTGAAGTAGTTTTAATCTCAAGGTTTAAGGAGAGATAAAGACTGTACACACGCCATTGTGATCGATTCTGAGCCATTTCACCCAGAGTCTCCAACTACTGGTTACAATAGTCGCGCGGACCCCAACCAAGTAATCTGCGTTCGATAATTACTGAAGCTAGTATTTTAGATGATATATTAGTTAAACTAATCCCTCTATGGTTGTCACAGAATGATTTTGATCCTTTTTTATATATTGGGACGATCAGTGATTGCGACCAATCGGATAGGATTACGTCCAATTCTCAGATTTTAGCTAAAATATTAGTCAAGCTAATCGCTAAAACTGGACCACCATCCTTAAAGACATCTGGACCAGCTACTCTTCCTCTTTTCATATTGGTTATAGCTTTTTGAAATGTAATTGAAGTAGAAGGGTCTATTTCAATGTTCCATTCAGGCTGTATGGGAATGATGGGTAGTTGTAGGGTAGCTGAAGACCAGCTGAACTGCTTCTTAAAGTGTTCCTCCCATCGTTCTAAACGTCTGGACTAAGAGCAGATAAGTGTCGTCTTTTTTTCGAAATTGTCTCATTTACACTTAACTTTTTAATTCCGGTTTATTTTATCGGTCTGAAAGGTTGTCTTGTGTTACTTGCAGCCACTGCCTTTTCATTTTCTTTTGCTTTCGTTGCCCACCACTGCTCACTATTGTTCCGTAACTTTTGGTTAACCTAGATTTGGTTTGTTTTCGCTTTTCATCGTGTTCAGAGCCTGATGAGATAAATTTACGAGAGTCTATCAGTGCAATAGATATCTCAGAAATCCACTGGTTTTTCGTATCCCTTTGATTCAAGTCACTTCTGTCTCCATAGCTGTTTGTATATCTTTCCAAGTAACATCTGGGTCAGCCTTGTTTTCAGAACTGCTAGGGTGTGACCTCAGTTGTTCATGGGATTCAACTTTGACTTTCTTATAGCTGAATTCAACTCTAATGAGTCTTCTTAATGTGGTTTTTATGCGCCCGGTGAGGTGAAAGCAAATGCTTGCTCGTATTAGAGCACGATCCGAGTTCAAACATGTGTTACAGAACGAGTGACAGTCTTCTATCGAGCCTCTCCAACGATGACTGATGTTGATATGGTATATTTGAGTTCATCGTTGGTTTGGTACAGGGGTCGCCATGTTAGACAATTTCTCTCCTTATGTTTAAAATTATTGTTTGCTAAAAATGAATGATTGTCTAAGCACAGTTGCTGCAGAGGATCACCATTATCTGTTCACTGTGCCGGAATACTAAAACACTCACCTAAATGTCTTTCTGTTTGGTTTAAGCTACCTACATGTGCATTAAACTCACCTGCACGAGTACTTTGTCTGAGTGTTCAGCTTTTCAAAACAGTTCAATAATCTTTCTGAAAAACTTATCTTTTACTTTATCTGGGCTGCAGTCAGTTGGAGTGTAGACAGAAAGGGCATAAATGCAACGATTTGTGTCATTATCCTTCGAGTTCTTAAGGGACCGTTTAGCCGAATAGCATATAGGCGACTGTTAGCAGGGATCCATCCTAATTGTGCCTGTTTTGCCCTCATACTTAGTGCTATGCCTACACCCATCAGTCCACGAGAACTAGTCATCGGGTCGCTAAATAAATGGGGTGTGTATCTCGTCGGCTCCTCCGTTTTGGCCAGGTGAGGTCGAGTGAATGACCACTAGGATCCTGTATGCGTGTTTCGGAGACACAGTGTACATAGGATGTTAGGGTTTTAGCCAAGGAGACCTGCTTACCGACTTGACATAGGGTATGTACGTTAAATGCTCCAATGTGTAGTTTAGTGCGCCGTTTCAGCACACCTGGGAAAGTATTTCGCGCACTAAAATCGTTGGACATGGTGGCCCTTGATAGGAGTTTAGAGTTGAAAGTCAAGGTAGGAGGAATAATAGGAATTGAAGAGGGAGATTGATTATGAATACAGTGGTTTTGAGTTCTGTTAGAGGTATGGGGACGGTTATCATTTCTTAGTTGCCCGCACCGTAAAAGGGTTCTTCTAGAAGTACCTGAAAAGTAAATTGGGTTAGAGTTAGTCACACTTCTGTACAATCAGCAGTATAACTTCGCCCTCTGGTCTTGGGTTTGCTGCTTTTAGTCTTACCGCTCTTCAGCCGACCTGTCTGACATGATAGGACCTTGAAGAACAATTGTTCCAGCCAGTATAGCTCGATTGCTTCATCACGATAAGCAAGCCCGACCACCACGTCAAAGTGGAAGCAACGGTTGGGACTGCGCATGATGTGTGGAGAGTGGTTCTTCATCTATATCTCGTCTATATTTTAATATAATAAATTCTAAATTCTCTATTATTAAATACAATAGTCTCCATTTAAAGTACTTGACTGCTAGTTTATTATCGATTTTCATTCATTTTCAGAAAGTTATTAGTGATTTAAAAACCAGCACTTTGGATGTGGTGCTTACGAGACTATCAGCACACTATATTATGTGTCCCGATCGCCAATCAGTGTGCCAGGATAACACTACATGTTGCCCAATGTCAGGTGAGATATGGGGTTGTTGTCAACATGCCAATGTAAGTTCCTTTTTGGAAATACCTCGTGTTATTACATTATTGTTTTATCGGCTCACTTATACATAGTATTTTAGAAATCTCGGTAAATTAATCTCTGGCACCCATCTTTTTTTGAACAAACATTAAATCTGGTTTATATCGGAATACTAGTTGTCGTCCCTCCATCATGTAAAAATTTGTGTGACAAGTCAAAAGCTACTTGAAATTTGGCGAGTCCCACTAATCTTTTCTTTGTTTGATGACTGCTTAAGCCTATCCATTAGCAACTCCTTTGAGGGTTCAATGAGTTGTTTTTATCTTCATAACCTGTAATAAATGCCATAGTGACCATTGAATTGACGTTTACTGATCTTTATTTATTTATTTATTTAAACACATAAACATTGGTACAAGGAGGCAACATATATGCGCCACACAAACCATTTTATTTCCGTGGGGGCTGGAATACTGCCCGTGTACCCAAACCGAAGCAGGTAGTTTCTTTAGGGTGCCACTCCCCGAGCCATTAACCTAGAGGTATAATCCATAAGACAGTGGATCAACGTTAGATGCAGTCCATGGTGGCGAGTGACTAACAATAAGTTCATAAGACTCTTGTTTCTTCAGGATCCTGGTGCCCATGTGCACAAATAGTTTGGAATCAGGGTTTTCGAACTCCCCTAAGTGAATACTCTATAACCATCAACCCTGTTAAAGATCTGAACATTCGCTTTTCGTCTTCTCAATTTAGTAAACAATATCCCCCTTGAGAGAAGGCAGTGTTTAGAACTTCCCTGACGGGCTGTATGCGTATGGCCATGTGAGAGCATTTAGAGAAGGAAAGTGAACTTTCTTCACCCTCGACCGTCCCACGGTATTTGGGAGCTGTTCGCTGATCAGTCCTCTACCCATCAGTCCATAAAGTCATAGACAGTTGGACTTGGCCATGTTAATAGATGTAGACTACCTGGTTGAGATCTGCGTGATTATCATTACCAATGGTTAGGGACTTTGAGTGACACAGCTCAAAATCGTTTGCAATGGTGCAGATGCATCCATTACTTGTCATCCCTAAAATTCTGAATTCCTCATAACTATTATTTTTGTTTTTATTTCACTAATTTATATTTTCTTACCAAATCGTGTCTGATATCTAATCTTTCCCATTACCGCTGATACTATTACTACCTCTACTATTTTAAGATTTGGCCTTATAATTTCATCTCTCTCTCTCTGCTATTTGGGTATTGGAACTTGAACCGACTTACACACGTACCAGGTTCTGCTTTGTGACTGATTGTCTGACTGATAAATCTATAATTATTATTGTTATGAGAGACAAAATATTGAGTCTGGATTAATCCGTGTTATAAGTCAGAAATGGCGAATGTCACGTCCATTAAGTCTTGAATACTACAGAATATTGACAAACTTTTTCATTTTGAATGTTAAAAGTTACACATGAATTTTTTAAACTTCACATTCCAACACTCACTATTAGTATAAGACTCTGAAGCAATAAGTTGATACAATTAAGTACTTCCCTTATCTAATCTAGGTATAGTATATAGAAACAAAACATAAACAATATATTTACTTTTATTGAAAATAATTTTCATTCAGTAAAATGGTGGTCAGTGTATGTCATGGTGTCGGGGTATGAAAAAAAGCTGCAAAGGGCTGGCTTGTGTTGGTCCTTCACGACTCCCTGACTGGGGTCCGAGAGATGGTGTAACACTGGCTAGAGACGTTATCAGATATGGCTCAGAATAGAAGCCAGTGGCGATCCTGCTGTAACCTATTTTTACTTTCTTCATAACAAGTGGTTGTATCTTCCTTAACTGGAAGATTTCTTCTGATTGTACCTTTCTGTTTCCTCCATTATTACTACTATTACACTACCTTACACTAATCTGGTCGTAATTTTTTTTAAAACGCTCCTTATCTTCTTTTTTTCTCTTCTCCTTCCCATTGTTTTGGATGGCGCATATATATTTGGTGCCCTCTTCTACCAATATTTATGTGCTCAAATAAATAAATAAATACTGGGTAAAATAATCACAATAAAATCCTACATTACGGTTGTATTCAATTCCAACTTCTATGCTTTTATTATGGTCAAGATCCACTGGATTGAATCACGTTGCTCGGTTGATGGGTCCAGCTTTTCTATTTGATCACGTAATTGATAAATGGCTATCAATAGATGAAATTATTATATCCAGTGATTGTAGTTAGATTTGATTGGTTAAGTCAAGTCAGTCAGTTGTATACCATGTGAAACTCCTGACACATGCTCATCGGTTCAAGTTATTACACCACACACAACGAGGTGGGATTATCAAGAAAGATCCGATTGCTAATAACTTCACTGACTGGTTTCACGTCTTGGTTTAGTTATCTTTAACTTTCTTTCAGTCTACTCTTGCGCCTGACATCACCTGTCGTGGACGTGGTGAACACACGTCCTAACCATCTCAATTTACTACCTCATCAACCGGTTATATCTACCTATATGATTATAAGTTCCAATATCCTTGATATGAACCTTGTCAACATTTCTGGTCTACCCTCTTTACATGAAAATACTAGACGTTTTTGTATTGCGTTTTAGTAAGTTTACTATCTTCATTGCAAATGTTTATTTAAGTTGTATATCAAGGGATCAAATTTCACTAGTTATTAAAGGTATAAATGAAATAGAATCAGATAAACATGGTTTTCGAACAACAGTATCATGGGTAAATCCTAACTTTAGTCGTATCCACAGATAATTCAAGCAGTTATAATCTAATGTCTTTTAAATTATATTCAATTAAATGGAAATACAGTATGTGAATCAATGTTCCGAAGAAAGACTTGGATTTCATTTTATGACATATACCCACAGAGAAGAAAACGAGATTACAAACCCAAGGCGAGAAGAATTGAACGCCAGTTTATATAAGACGCTTTCAACAATGGGGGCCTACGTGGGCTATAGGTGTCAACGTAAGAAGAGTTGATTGTGTGGTGTATAAAATTAATGTTCGAAGGAAATGTCTGACGCGACATGTAAACTGCATCATCGATAGACGATTGAATTCGGATAAAGAACCCCTAACTCGAAATCGCCACTAGATTACTTAATCAATAAAGTCAGTCTGAAACAAAAAAGAACGATGCAAAAGAAGTGATGGCCAGACCCCAAGAAAATGACGTTTCCCTCAACTCCTTCAGTTAAATCCAAGTAGGACTTACTTTTCACGATGGGAGGGTGATATAGTGAGTCAGTCAGAAGTATCTAAATGAAAAAGTCACTTGAGGACAGCCAGAAATGGCCTAAAGGACAACTACATATCATTGGTTAAGAAATGGATTCATTTTCTAAGGTGTAGAACGGTATATACGTATGTAAATGAGTATTTATGCAATTAATTCGGTAACCCAATAGAATTTCTCTTCTACCCATTATCTTCTCTCTTAAAGTAGTCAATTTGGGGGGTTAGCGCGTAGCACGTTGTGTATCACATATCGAACACCGTCCATCATAACAGTAATTTTAGTTGTAATATCAATGTGGTTCTGCGTAGTTAAATGATAGGTACAATCGAAATTTAAATGTCCTCTGAAATCCTGGTTCAAAACGGCTATTCTCCAGAATTAATCAGTCTATTTGGGAACGTTTTCATCTCACTGCTGATTCAAGTAAGTCGGATAGCCTAGTTCGGAAGTGATTATATAAGAGTGTAATACCATAATATCTGGTTAGCTTCGTTGTTTATGCACTATAATTCCAACCAACGGGTTTTTCGTTCAAACTTTATCTTGTTCATACCACTAATAGCCTTTAAATAAAAAGAATATCCTAGTTAAGTACATAGGACTGTACTTGGTAAATGAGTTTCACTGTTCATACCTCAAAATAAGTCACCCAAACTCTGTGATGAGTTTTTTGTTTTATTCATAGGCTGTTTGCTGTCCAGATGGAGAACATTGTTGCCCTCATGGTTCAGTCTGTGATATGGTGCATCACTCATGTAAACCAGCTAAGTCCAATGAAATCCCAGAGATAAAAGAATCTTTCCACACCTTACACCTTGTATCGGCATCAGCTCCTGCACGTCTCAACCCAAATGTCAAACCATCTAAAGCAGACTGGAGAAAAAAGATTCATAAACTATCAGCTAAGTATTTACTAGCTTATTCTGGTGTTGTATGTCCAGATCCATTATATGAATGCCCAGCTGATACAACTTGTTGCTCTAGTTCAGATGAAACATGGGCATGTTGCCCTATTCCTCAGGTAAGTTTTTTGATATTATCTATGAATTTATAATTCTGAATTGTGTTAAAATTTCCACAAATCAATATAAACCTCCTGATTTCTTGTGTTCATTTTTAAACTGGGTTATATTGTTATCCTATATTTCACAGTAACATCCCTCGTTTGATTAAGATCACTCATCATCATATTGTTAATTAAAATATAAAGAGTTTTTTTCAGGTTACTTAATATTTACGTAGAATTAGAAATTCAGATTTGGAACTTACATATTTCTAAAGCTGGAATGGACAGAGCAAATATAATTCATTAGATTGTTGAATAAATTAGCCTAGTGACATAATTACATACTTCATTAATAACGCTTTTAATCAATTCTATTGGGTTAAATTGGATTATGTTAGTTATCCAGTAGTGAAGTACTAAAGATTTTTGTTTCATATATTAACAAACAATCATAATGCAATATTTAACACAAAAGTACGTTAGTTCAAATGACTGAGTCGCCCCTGACCGTTGCTACTGCCTTAACGTAGTGGTCGGGCTTGCCTATCGTGATGAAGTAATCGAGCTATAATGGCTGAAATAATCGTTTTTCAAGGTCTCACCGTGCCAGACAGATCAGATGAAGAGTGGTAAGTCTAAAAGCAGCAAACTCAAGGTCCGAGGGAAAAGTCATACTGCTGATTGTATATTTGTGTGATGGCAGTAAGCTGTTTCCCTCAGACAACCAGCATAACAACGATGCCGCCTGACTAAAAGGAGGGCTGGGATTAGAAAAGGTCTCCGGCGGTAAGGCCCCAACAATTACGGAGCTAACACGAAAATTACTCACAGAAAGTTCGTGTGTGACCGGCCTCAAGCAGTTGTCTGTTGTGCCTTGTGGTTACGTTTTCAGGTCACTAAGACAGCCTCTAATTCAATTTCCTTTTCAATTACCTCTGGAAGAGCCGTTCTATGGTGTGGCTAACCGGGAAGTGAAAACCGCCCTCAAGCTTTTAACAGCACTCATGACTGCATCGCCTCAACAAGAAATTCACAAAACGAAATATAACTAATATGAAAATAACCATATAATATACACTTGTTTGTGTCACATTGTGGATATTTTAAACATAGCAGTAAAACTCCCATTCTTAAGAGTTTTGTTTGGATTTCTAAGCTGCATATTAAAAAAAATATTGTGAATAACTTCATTAAACATATTGTTGAACCATATATGGTGGTTGACAATTTTCAGTTGTACGGGGAAGGATGGTTAACATTGTATTATGCGAAATACTATTAGGATATATCATCCAATCACCTGTTCTCGATTAGCTAGCATTGTATTACTCCTAAAACTATTATTTACCATGCTTTGTCATTGTCCGTTTCAAATTGGACGATAGATATTTTGCGTTTTCAAGACATTAATATCTTATTTAATCTTATTCATAATCAACATAATTTGATATGTTGTTGTGTAGAATACCACTTTTTCAGTACAAATGTAATTTACTGGACGAAATTAAAAAACTGATTACCAGTTTTGATCGAATGTAAAATAGTTCTTAATCAAAATATAACGTTAATATTAGGAACTATATACTAAACAATTTTATTTATGTATCCCTTGTTCAGTATTTCTTTCATCTATATCTCTTAGACCTACATTTAGTTAGGTTATCGTAATATTCTTTTCTTCATATTATGTAGACTGTCTCCTTTCCTGGTGTTTACAATAAAGCTTTGAATAAGTCTTTTGAACAGATGTACAATAATAAAAATAGTTCATATTCTGTTGCAAATTTTAATTTAATTTATATGAACTTATCAACATTAAATGGCACACAATTGTGTCCAGATGCAAAATCTCGCTGTAGCGATGAACAAACATGTTGCAAACTAAAAACTGGAGAGTGGGGTTGCTGCCCTGTAAAAAATGTAAGTAACTTACTGAAATATTTAGAATTAGTCGGGTTCTATTGAACATTCAATAGGTTTGACTTGTTATTTTTCTGACATATTGTTTCACAGTAATTAAAACTTAACTACTCACGTTAAACCTATCAGATATTTAAGTCTTGAATCCTTAATACTGTAAAAGTACAACCAGAAATGTTTTTGCCACATTCTTTATATATATTTGAACACATAAATACTGGTGGTCTAGAGGTCAAGCATTTGCGCGCGAGAACAACGGCCCTGGGTTCGAACCCCGTGAGCGGGATCGTGGATATGCTCAGCTGAGGAGTCCTACAATAGGGCGAAATGGCTGTCCAGTGCTTTCAGATTTAGCCCCCAAATGCCCTGTTACGGCCGAGTGTGGGGAGAGTCCGCTCTCCCTCTTGAAATGCTCTCACATGACCGCGCGTATAAAGCCTCTACCAGGGAAGTCCTACTCACTGCCTTCTCGCACAACGGGTGTTGTCTACGAAAATGAGAGGACGAAAAGAGAATGTCCGATGCTTTAACCGGATCCAAAACCAATGGTGCACATGGGCTCCAATATCCTGAGGGAACACAAATGGTGCATGAACCAATCGTTGGTCACCAGTTACCATGGGACTGCATCTCTTTACGCTGCTCCACTCCCTTGTGGGTCAGACGTTCAGGGTCGAAGGCTCGGGGTGTGGCCCCCTAAGAAAAACACCTGCTTCAGTCTGGGCACCCGGGTAGTATCACAGCCCTCGCACAAATCAATTGAGTTTCGTGTGGCTTATATGTATTTGGTGCCTCCTTGTACCAATACCTGTGTGTTAAAATAAATACATAAATACTGGTACAAGTAGGCACCAGATACATATGCACCACACCGATCTCATTTGATTTGTGTGAGTGCTATGATACTGCATGGGTACCCAAACCGAAGCAGGTGGTTTTCTTAGCGGGCCACACCCGGAGCCTTCGACCTAAAGGTCTGATCCACAAGGCAGTGGAGCATCATAAGGAGATGCAGTCCCATGGTAACTGGTGACCAACTATTGGTTCTTACACCATTTGTTCCTTTAGGATACTGCAGCCCGTGTGCACCATTGGTTTTGAATGAGGGTTTTCTAACTTCCCTCGGTAGACTCTCCGTGTCCACCAACCTGGTTCAAGCCTCTGTCGGACATTCGCTTATCATCCTCCCAATTTCGTGAACAACACCCCCGCCACGAGAAGGCAGTGAGTAGGAATTCCCTGTTAGAGGCTATATACGTGTGGCCATGTGAGAGCATTTCGAGAGGGAGAGCGAAGTCTCCCCCACTTTCGGCCGTACCAGGGCATTCGGGGGCATATATATATTCAATTTTTTATTTCTTGTGAACCTTTGTTTTTTTCTGACATTAGAAAGAGTCATCCTAGAAATATCTCAAATAATAAGTTATAGGGATATGTTGTTAGTTGTATGAATCATAGAAAATCATAAGTTTGTACATCATTCAATTCATGTTTTATTATTGTTTTACATTTTAATCGGTTCATTCTTTTCACCAAAATCAGTTACCATGAATTTTGTTACGATTCACTTCAGTCGATTGTTTCATTTCTTCATTAGTTTTAATTGATGCATTTGATGAATAAAATTCATGTATAGATTTAAATCTTTTATAAATTATTATTTGTTAAAGTTATGTGTTACTGTTCGGAATGCTAGATCCCTCGAACTCACTTGATAAACGTTTATTTTTATAATTTTATTTTGGAAATTTAAATTTCTTGCTTCCCCGCCAAAAGTTTTCATTTTTGACCTTCATATTGTACTTCCCACTTGTCAGGACCTTAAATATGACGTTTTCCAAGGACATTTTTATACTATATATATACGCTTATTTTGTGCCTGTTTTTGTTTGTACTTCTGACTGCTTGTGAAATACATATCCCTCTTGTGAACCTTAACTTCTCTCTTGAGTTAGAGGGGCTAGGGCGCATCAGAATAGTTAACTTATTTGATCATTGTGTCATTGAGTCTTCGTTCCATTCACAGATTTGGGTGATCTATTAATCTCTTCAAATATAACAGTTACATTCTTACAGAATTTATTCTATGAAAATGGTAAATATGATTCGTTACATATATATGGTGTATATCAAAGGTCAATTAATATTAAGTGTTACTTAATATCTAATATAATTATTTGTAATGAATAAATTAGAATATGGTGTGATGAATGTATATTTTTTTCTCTCTGTTGGTGAATAGCTACTTTGTTTTGAAACATTTAACTTATGGCAACATAAAATTAAGTTTTGTCTTATTAGGTGGCAAGTTTTGAGAGAGAGAGATCATATTTCAGTGTGTAATATTGCGTGATTTTATTTCACAATAACAGATATTCTCTGGTTGTTGTTGTTAATAATTCAATTTTGGATATAAAGGAAGTACTTCAATTGAAGGAGTTCTAAACGCTTAGTGTTATGATTTCTTTTATTACGAATCAGCTACTCTTATTGCTTAGTAATCCTGGATACAACATTACTCTACAAATCCCCAAATTGGAACACGGTTGAACAGGATTGTAATTAGAATTATTTATTTGAACACATAAATATTGGTACAAGAGGGCACCGAATACATATGCACCACACAAGTCACCTGATTTGTGTGTGGGCTGTGATACTAACTGAGAGCCCACATCAAAGCAGGTGGTTTTCTTGGGGGACCACACCTCAAGCCATGAACCTAAAGGTCTGATCCACAAGGCAGTGGAGCAACGTCAAGAGATGCAGTCCCATGGTAACCGGTGTTCAACAATTGGTTCATGCGCCAATATACTGAAGCCGTGTGCACTGTTGGTTTGAAATGAGGGTTTTCCAACTCCCCTAGATGGACTCTCCGTGTCCACCAACCCGGTTAAAGCACCGAACATTCGCTTTTATTCCTCTGAATTTCATAGGCAACACCCGTTGTGCGAGAAGGCAGTGAGTAGGACTCCCCTGGTAGTGGCTGTATACGCGTGGCCATGTGAGAACATTTGGAGAGGGAGGGTTAACTCTCCCCACTCTCGGCCGTACCACGGCATTTGGGGGCTAATTATATTACAAATAATAAGTTTGGATGGAAATAGACATCACCATAAGAAAAACGTTAGTATATTCATAATTTTTACATGAGAAGATTCTAGAATCTTAAAGTATCCGCTATCGCTGGTTGGTTAAGAAATAACCAATCACCGTGCCCCAACACAATCCTGCCCAGAATATGCCTTAATCCAATCTGTATTTCTTTGTCCCTTTTACAAAATAGTTGTACCTTGAAACACTACATAAATCTGCTATTAATCATTGGACTACTTAAATTGAATTAATATTACAAGCCAAAACTATTAAAGGTTGTAATGAAGCCTGAAATTTAATCTTGTTATAGTATAGTTGGCAAAATGCTGGTCAATTAACTTGGATCTCATCATCAAACCCTACGTTTCCTTTAAGCATGATGTACTTAGATATATATTTGTGTGAAACTACATCTGGTTCCAAGGATGAATGTTCAATATTCATAAAACCCATACTTTGTCCAAAACTACAAGCAAGTGGATGATCTTGGAAGTCTGATGTATGGTAGTGAAAGTAACATGTGATTGGCCACTGAGTATGGAACAAACAGGTACTGAATTTACTAGTAAATATATGAGTTCCTTTACTCTCATAGATTTCTACCTCAAATTCACTGACAGTAACTGCTTGTAATTATGTGCAGTAAAGTATTGTCTAGTGTTACTCTCATTCTTTATTTCTGGTCGTGAATCGGGTATCTTATATAACGTGATCTAGTCTCTGTATTATGTACCGTTCAAGTATCCAATCTAGTAGTATCAGGAACTCGGTCACCCAGACCAGTCTTATTATCATTGTGTTAAATTAGTTATACGACAGAAATAGAAATATTTTAAATCATCCTTTATAGCAATGTCATAATGCTTTCATCATACTAAGAATATTCTATGATCGTGAATTTCCATCGGAACTCCAGCATCTTTAATTTTTTTGAAATGGTGCTTGTCAGTATTGTATCGGTAGTTACTCTTTCTCCGAGGTTCCTGTTTTGCTAATGACTTTATATCAGGAGTCATTCAGTAAAATCAATGCTTTGATTGTGAATAATGTTTCCAGTGTTTCTAGAGGTATATTCGAGGTTGTCATTTCCCAATTCTCCACATTGTGGAAGAATACCTTTTTTGATGAACCCGTAGAGGAAACTAGATTAGTAATGATCGTCGGGATCTCGGCGCGTAACCTCAGTGTTTAACGGATAACTGTATGATGCTAGTCACCTAGGGTCTTACTGTGAGAAGTTTTTGATGTGCAAGCTTCGTGCTTCAAAAGAACTAATCTTCAGGGACGGAAAACTATGGGGTAAGTTGAGGTGTTACCGTTTTGGACCTCACCATCTCTAACCCTTTCTGTGTATTGTAAGAAGGCAGGATCGTTTCAGGTACTGGTTGCTCTAGACAAAGACCTTACTGCTGTCACGCCTCAGCATTAGTCAGTAGTACAACTTTGTCCTTGAGTCATGAGTTTGCTTCTCTTATTCTTACTTGTTCCATAAATGGCTCGCCTGGCATGGTAGTACTTAAAGAAACGTTTGTTCTAGCCGACATAGTTCGATCGGATCAATAAGGTAGATAAGCCCGATCTCTACGTCAAAGTGGAAGCTATGATCAGTGAGGTCAACACTACTTTGCTAAAAAAAACTCATCTGTTTAACAACGTCTAATTAATCAATTTTCCAAAAAAAAACCATCAACTTATTCACTTTACATAAACAGTTATAGTCTCATAAATTGTTTATTAATTGTATTTGTCAATCAATGAAAACCAGGTAATGAACATGATGAGTTAACATTTCAAACCACACACTTCATGTATTTACTATTTACTTTAAAATTTGATTGTATTAATCCATTCAACTTCTTTTGAAACGAATCAGATTAGTTGTATTAGAGCTCAAAAATAAGATAATTAATACAGCTGATAGATTATGCGAACTAATGTATATCTCTGAACTAATTAATTGATACACAATAGGAACGAATAGAACAATTAACACTAGCTAACATTTGATAAATAAACTACGGTTGTTAGATCTTGTTTTTTTATTCAATCTAGTTACTTCTGTTGGTTAGTATTCATCCGGCGCTCTAATTCACTCAACTAGTACTTATATCAGAATACGGTTTAAACGAAAACATAATTATATTCGAAAACAAAACAGCAAATTAACTAATTTGAAGCTGGTTTGAATAATTTCTTTCTGGTTAGCGTTTTTTTAGCGAGTTAGTTTTCTACGAGATGGGGTCGCTAACCCTATGCCCCACCCTCCTTCTTTACCCGGGCTTGGGACCGGCACTAGTCCCCGGAGGGACTCCAGGAGGAGTTAATTTGAAGTTACATCAAGAAAAAAATATTAGTATATATTTATAATTTTCATACAGAAAGGTTATCATGTCTTCTCCATTTATCTACTAGCGCTGATTGGCTCAAAGAAAATAAGCCAATCAACATATCCTGATGTAATTCTATATGGAACATTCTTGAATCTAATCGATGTCCTGCTATAACCATAATAAAGAATAGTTACTTAAAATATACGTTTATGTTCATAATTTAAGTATAACTGCTGGTAAAACTGAATAATCTTAACACTCATAAATATAATTCATCTAACTTTGAAATTCTTCAACAGTTAAGAGCTATAGTTCTCTATAGAATTAAGCTTAAAATCATCATTTCTTTCATCCAGCAAAATAACAGCACAAAGAGATTTTAATTGACAAGCTTTTTTTTAAAAATTGTGGGATATTTCCATGTCTCATATTTGTTTTTTAGTTATTGACTATCTACAACTTAAGTTAAGATAAAAGTATCCCTGTGTTGGGGTGATCCAGAAAACTTCTCGAAAAAGACAAGAAAGGTTCAGGAAACACTAAAAAGCATTTCATTCAATCAGCGTTCACTTGAAGTTTAGCCAGAAACATCAAGAAACTGGAAAGTTACATGTAGAGTTTCTGATTGGCTAATTACTATGCTGCTACTAAACATAGTAGCATTGAAGAATCTTCGGGAAACGCAAGGACATCTAAAATACTATAAAACCCTATATTTTCTGTACTAAAACGAACCTTTGGGGTGAATTGCTTCTCGGATATTTTGCGCCTTTTCTCTTGTGTTCAGGTCGCTTTGTAGTTCTAGTTTGGGTGTTACGAGAATAGCTTACGGACCGAATATGTTTATTATTTATTTATTTGAACACATAAATATTGGTACAAGCAGGCACCAAATATATATGCGCCACACAACATTTTATTTGTGTGTGGGCTGTGCTAATGCCCAGACCGAAGCAGGTGGTTTTCTTAGGGGGCCACACCCGCAGCCTTTGACCTAAGGGTCTGACCCACAAGGCAGTGGAGCATCGTGAGGAGATGCAGTCCCATGGTATCTGGTGACCAACGATTGGTTCATACAAATTTGTTCCTTCAGGATTCTGAAGCCCATATACACGATTGGTTTGGGATCCGGTTAAAGCATCGGACATTCTCTTTTCGTCCTCTCATTTTCGTAGACAACACCCTCGCCACGAGAAGGCAGTGAGTAGGACTTCCCTGGCAGAGGCTTTATACGCATGACCGTGTGAGAGTATTTCGAGAGGGTGGGCGGGCCCACTACACTCTCGGTCGTACCAGGGCATTTGGGGGCGAACCGAATATAGCGTTCAATTAGCAATACTTATCACCCTGAAAGTCGGTTACAGATCCCTTAGAATTCAAAATATAACTGTTCAATGATTACTCTTCTTACAAAGTTTCCTTTTTCTATTGTAAACATTGTTGTTATAACGTCATTCAAACTAATAGTGTATCATTCACCAATATAACCTACTATGATAAAGTTAGTAGTATGTTACAAATTAAATTGAGTGAATTACTTTCCTTATGTTCCTTAAATAGAGCACTGTATTTGTGAATTTAATGTTTATTCATAATAATATAATGTCTAATTGACATTAATGAGTTCTAAACATTCAAAGTGTTTCTTTCTTGATTGTATGCAAAATATCATAAAGGCTCCTATACACAATCACTTCAAACAGAATGAAGATAGATTCATCATGGAGAGAACAAATAAAATTACAAAAAAAAAGAATTTTCTGCTTAAAGTATTTAACAATGAATGCTTATCAATATAATCTTTTTATTCTATCCCCTTAGGCTGTATGTTGCAGTGATGGGGAACATTGTTGTCCTGAAGGTTATGAATGTGATTTATCTGTTGGAGAGTGTATAAAACATTCTAAATCATCAAATGAATCGAAAAAGTTTTCATCAAACACTATTCTTACATCATTACCAACAAAAATGGAAGATAATAATCGTTGTCCTGACAGTGATATTTATTGTGCAGATAATTCAACTTGTTGTAAACATGAAAATGAATGGGGTTGTTGCTTGTTCCCAAATGTAATTTTTTTTATATTTAATATTTATAAATATTCTTCTGCTTAAATCTCTAGATTTGAGATTCAACCGTTTATATTAATTTATAGCTAATTATTGTTTGAAACCTTCAGTGTTATGCGATAGTTTAAGTTGTTTTCAATTTTGACTAGATGCAAATTTTTGTATGAAAAACAGTAATTCCTGGACTTCTAGTAAGAAATCTTGATTATGGAGGTTCAGTTGTGTTGGGTGTTAGACAGTTTTTCTCAGTGTTTGTACAATATCGCGAAATGTTTAATGTTAGATATGTAAACCTTTGAATCCTTCCTCAGTGGTTCAAATTTCTAATGCTTGCCGTGGAACCTAATAGTCCTAGGTTCGATTCCTAGTGGGATCGTGGATACCCACTACCATTGAGGATTTTAACACTAAAACGAAACAGTTGTATAATGCTTCTAAGATTTCAGTAATTGCCTAAAATTAATCGACGATACTACTCAAACAAGTTAGATTATAAACAATAAATAACGCAGAATTGGATGTTAATATGTATAAAGTTGAATGGTGTAATTTGCATGTAATCAACTTCCATCACTCGAAGTCATCCCAACTTTAAATAGCCGCTTCAATTAAGAATTGGAAATTAGTTCAACCAATAAACGTTGAATTATATCAATGGTTTCTTGTTCAACTTGTAAATAGTTATTCAATCAGATTTAAATATGTATTCTTAAGGTAGGTTAAAATCTATGATAAATAGAACATTAATACTAGAATATGTATATCTGGCTATCATATTTCAGGAACATAATAAACGGACATTGAATAACCGTACTCTTATAATGTTCATCATGCTAATTAATGTCTTTAATGGAGAAAAAAACCAAGCAAAGAGAATTAAACTGTAGATGATACAGAAGAATAGGGTGTATATCATGAGTTATGTGTTGAGAATGCTAATTTAAATCTCTTTTACAACTTAGATACTTTCCAAATTTTCTTTATCTTACTAGACTTAGGATTTGTAATTAACAATATCGGCGAGATTATAATTTATGGACGAACCAATTAGGTACGAGATAACAGGTCTTGGATTTTAGCGCGAAATTCTCTCATCCATTTGGTAAAATATAGTTTTGGTATTATAGCTGATGTCAATTTGTGATGTAGACCCTAAATCTAATTCGTAACCTTAACCATCAACTGTAAACAATGGTTCTAATTCCTTAAACTGATTTATAACCTTCATTTGCTTCTAGTTAATGGGTGAAAGGTCGTCCATAAATTATAGTCTCACCACAATATTATCTATGCGTTTCACTACGTTTACTCATGATGTAATAATGTAATTCAATAATCACATTTGAAACTTGTATTTGTATTTTTTTAAAGGCAGTCTGTTGTTCCGATGGTATTCATTGTTGTCCAGCAAATACAGTTTGTGATTTAAAAGAAGAAATGTGTATTAGTAAATCAGGTGATATTATCAGTAAACTACAATTGAAATCTACACCTAAATTTAATTCATTCCAATATAATTCACGTATTCATATTTGCTCTGATATGAAATCTGTTTGTATTAATGGTACATGTTGTTCCAATGTAAATGATCAATTATCAACACTGTGTTGTCCTTATGAAAATGTATGTTTTAAAAGTTTATTTATTGTTATGTGTTATATTTGAACATTAGTTTCGTCTAGGGTTTTTTCCGAGATGTACGGTTTATAACTGGATGTACCTGCACCTCAGATTTGATGTTCACTCTGGGACTCAAACCCCGTACTGTTCGCTTCAAACACCATCGCGTTATCCACTTAACTACTGAGTCCTGATAGCCACTTGCTTTTGCAATAGGGTGAAGTTTAAATTCACTTGGTGGTATTGTTTAGTTGAATCATCTCATTGATGTTTAGGACTGTAATTAATCAGTCTCAGTGATGTCTTATATATTTTTTGTTAAATAAACGGTACTAAAAGTTTTAGAATTAGTGAATAGTGAGTAACAGTAAGATTCAGTAATTGCGTTTCGTCTTATTTTGAACTTATCACTGCATCCTATCATCGATGTTTAGTGTGTCGTATAATTTATAACACTATCCGTTCTTAGTTAAAAAATAAAGTGTCTTTTATGTATTTATTTATTTAAACACATAAACATTGGTATAAGGGAGCACCAAATATATACGCGTCATACGTCGTCATTTAACTTGTTTGAGGGCTGGAAGCCCCCGGACAGGTAAACGGTTGATGGCTTTCGTACTTCGTCATACTTTGCTGTGTTTTTAGACAATCAGTTAGTAGTGTGTTCCATTATTATTGTTAATTAGGTCAATATTCAAGGTGAGGTCGACATCATAAGTTGATAGTTATAGAACAATTCAAAGATGTACTTTGAAATCGTTTGTTTAATTTTAAAAAACTTATTTCAGTAGTATATGTATTCATAATAATGTGATTGATTCATCAGTCAGTCAGTCCAATTACTTGACTAATATGATACAATCTTTATCATAATTTTCAGGCCGTTTGTTGCAACGATGGTGAACACTGTTGCCCGAAGGGTACAACATGTGATATGGTCAATGGTGGTTGTATTGTTTCACAAGAAGATTTATCAAAATCTAATTCTGTTCCATTGCTTACCAAGATCGCAGCTTTACATGTTACTTCCAAAAATAACACACAATCTACTGTTTTCACTCAAATTTGTCCTGGTGGTAAAGCGAAATGTCCAGATAGCGCAACATGTTGTAAATTATCTAGTGGGCAATATGCATGTTGTCCAATTCCAAATGTGAGTTTCCGTTAAAATAGGAGTTTTATTAATATAAATTGGTAATCATACTTCGATAACAAGCTTGGAGACTTTATTCTTTTTACTTAAGTTGAGTTATGATAAGTCAGTCCGCCTACTTGAACATTTGTTTCTAACTTTCCAGCCGCTTTCTGTAACCACAGATTACGCATACGCTCCGACTTGAACAATAGGAAAAAGGAAAGAAATGTAAGTCAGCTCTTTACTTCTAGATGAGTTATATCAGTTACTCATACCGTAGAACCTGTTACGTGTGTACATCGGTTCAAGTTCCAATACCCAAAAAGCAGAGAGAGAGAGATGAAATTATAAGGCCAAACATAACAATAGTAGAGGTAATAACAGTATAAGTAGTAATAGGAAAGATCAGATATTAGACACGATTTGGTAAGAAAATATAAATTAGTGAAATAAAAACAAAAATAATAGTTATGAGGAATTCAGAATTTTAGGGATGACAAATAATGGATGCATCTGCACCACTGCAAACGATTTTGAGCTGTGTCACTCAAAGTCCCTAACCATTGGTAATGATAATCATGCGGATCTCAACCAGGTAGTCTACACCTATTAATATGGCCAAGTCCAACTGTCTATGAATTTATGGACTGACGACATGTTTAGGTTTTGCCGCCCCTAGCTTTCTTCCAGATTACTCCTACACCACACTACATCGCTCTATGGAGATTATAAAAGTTCGAATTCTTTGATAAATATCGTGTGTCATGTCACCAATCACAGTCCTAATTCTAACTTGGTCTATTTCACGTCTACCACTTTCTCGATAGCCTAGTTTTCTCAATTTGAATAAATACACGCCCGATCAGTACCATCAGCTGTAAATCAAACAGCTCACCTCCTATTGGTCCGCTATTCGTACACTCCTCTCTATACCTTGTCCTGAGTTGAGGAGTAGAAACCAGCCTCTGCTACGTTTCTATTTCAAACAGACGCGTTTCATATACAAGCATACTTGATCGCATTGCACCATATAACGGAAATGACAATTATGCTCCAACAAGTCAAAGGTGGCTGTGTGTAGGAGAGGGTGTAAATAATGGAATGAGAACAAAATAAGGAAAATATATCGTACAACTGTATGGAATGAGTCAATCGAAAGCCTATGATAAATAGAATATATATATAACAATTTTTTCAATAACCATCGCTTCTGTAAACCTAAGAATGGGCCCTTGACAATTTCTGGATGAAGCCTTAAAGACTATCTCAAGGTTGATCCTTTGAATTGTTTCAATTGTGTTTTACAATCTAGCAGTCTAGTTTTCTAATTTCTGCGTTTATTCAGTTGATAATTGACGTTTAGATTCGTATGAACATTAGTTCGTTGAGTAAGGAAAACATGAAACTTTGTGAGAGGACTGTTTATTTATTTATTTATTTTAACACATAAATATCGGTACAAGAAGGCACCAAATACATATGCGCCACACAGATCTCATTTGATATGTGTGAGGGCTGTGATACTGCCCGGTTGCCCAAACCGAAGCAGGTGGTTTTCTTAGGGGGCCACACCCCGAGCCTTCGACCTGAAGATCTGATCCACAAGGCAGTGGAGCATCGTGAGGAGATGCAGTCCCATGGTAGCCGGTGACCAACAATTGGTTCATACGCCATTTGTTCCTTTTGGATACTGGAGCCCATGTGCACCATTGGTTTGGGATCCGGTTATAGCGCCGGACATTCGCTTTTTGTCCTCTCATTTTTGTAAACAACACCCCCGCCACGAGAAGGCAGTGAGTAGGACTTCCCTGTTAGAGGCTTTATACGCGTGGCCATATGAGAGCATTTCGAGAGGGGGAGCGGACTTCCCCCACTCTCGGCCGTACCAGGGCATTTAGGGGCTGAGAGGACTGTTAGTTACGGACAACCCAGTCATGTTTCAGAGAACACCTTTTGGGTTTTTCGCCTTATCCATTCTCTTTTTATGACCAAATACCATTCTCGTGATGAAAACCTCAACTCCCAAACTTAATTCTGAGTTATCTTAATGAAAATAGTTGGTAGAAGTTTCTCAATTTGCTATTGTAGCATTTCTCAATGTTCGTGTATAAACTACAGTCTTGCTAAAAAAATTTAGTTAGTCTCCTGGTTTTACAGTGTTCTTTTCTTTCCTATCTTATTTAAAATTTCATTGGGTATATCAATCTATAAATAATAAATGACACAAATGTAATGACATTTATGACTTCAATTACTCTCGTATTTATCCGCATATACAACTCATTTACTCTACACTAGATATTCCACCAGGATTATTCTATCAGACATCAATAAAACTAAAATCAAAAACACATAACTGACCTGAATAATACACGCATTAGCCAACAACCGACAATAATTAAACACAAGAGGTCGGGAAATATCTATAATACATCATCAAATCCCTATCAAACTATCTACCAGGTTTGCCAAGGTAACACAACCAGTCTTTTTATTTCTCTTGCTCACACAACAGAAACACGATTGGAAACTATCATTTCACCTGTTCTCAAGATCTGAGTTTCATAAAAATCCATGATATTTTTCAATGGATATAATAATTAGGTGGTAATTTTGCCTTATATGAGCTACAATTGATTGGCTTGTGTGTGTTAATCAATCAAATTATTCTCTGTTGCCCATTTTATGTAATGATGCTTCTTGAAGAAACCGGAGTTTTATTGATTGTAGTGACCAGCGGAACAACTCCTCTATCTCTTTTGGAATTGTTGTCGGTGAGTTAGTTCTGTACTTTAAAGGTCTTATTAGTGGAGACAAGAGTCCATGGGATAGGAAAAATCGTCACATTCTTAGAACTGGCATTTTTTAACCCCTCCTTTTTGTTACAGCACCGCTGCAAGAGTTGGTTATCTGGAGAAAACAACTTGCTGCCATCACATCTCAGTAGCAGTCAGCAGTATGAATTCATTATTGGACCGTAAGTTGTTACTTTTAGTCATATGGTTTTGAGATGGTGTAGAAGGTTTGTAGCTCATGTGAATGACTTCGGTGGAGTTTTGTTCTCTGGGCGTGATCGTCATCACATAAAGGTTGGGATACTACATCACAAACTAGTTTTAGCCTATTGAAAAATAAGCTGACTTTTCCTTTTTTTTCTTATATGATTCATGGAATTTGTAAAAACTGTCCACCTTTTCTTCAAATTCTGTATCGTTATGTTCAATTTCATTATAGGCTATTTGTTGTACAGATGATATTCACTGTTGTCCATCAGGAACTTCATGTGACTACAAAACTCTATCATGTGTGAAAACGGACAATGGTCACTCAATTGGAAGCCCAACAGCTAATGAATTATTACGTAATCCTGGATTATTGTTTACTGGAGTACGTGATCATGCTTGCCCTGATCATCAATCTATATGTGCTGATGATCTTACTTGTTGTCGATTGCCTGATAAATCATGGGGTTGTTGTCCACTGAAAAATGTACGTGTTGTATATATGTATATGTATATATATTTTAAGTGGAGTTTAAATATACATTGTTTATATAATTCACTATGAATTTCTTAGAATTTACCCCAGGGTTGTTCATTTTAGCATCAACATAGTACATTAAACTGATTAAATGCTGTGCCTGGATATCATTTCACTTTTATTCTCAAACACATACTTTAAGTAGTAATGTTTGTATGTATAATTTTCGTTTTTATTTATTGATTTAGATGTTATAAATTTTACTGCTGTCTATTTATTTAACGTCTCTCTACTTATATCCTCTTAGTTTTTTTGTAATATTTCCGTAAAATTACCGTTCTCCAAATGCGCTGTCTCTCTCATTATATGTAATCTTGAGTGCTGTTAAAGGTACTCTGGAGGAATTGTCAATTCCAGATCATTCAAATTGTGAAAGGATTCTTCTTTAGTTACGTGAAATTTAAATTGTGTTAGGGATAACCTTAACAACCTATGAGCTTGGCCGCTAAGGCCAGGAGAATTTCAGATAAGTTCGATCACTCACATGTATTTATTTATTATCTTCACCAAGATTTCAATTTCGAGTATTCGTTTATGCACATTTTTTTTATTCTATCGTCTTGCATGGTGTTCTCAATGTTCGATCTTTCTCATTTTTTAGTATAGGGTTGTGGAGATTGTTAAGTTTTAATTGAGCTCATGAACCGATAAATGTTAGACCACTATTGAAAACCTGGAGGCACTGTGGACGGCCCTTTCTTCCTAGTAAGGTGCTGATACTTATTATATGTTCACTGGTGACTAGATTTGAGAGGTAATTGTCGGAGTTCAAGTGAGAAGCCGTAACCACAGGATTTCAACTGTGTCGGGTGTGAGGCAGTTACCTACCGAAGACAATGAAAGATGGTCACGTAAAATTGTGGGTTGACTAAAGTCAGATATTAACACAGTTGGATGCCGGCTCATCAGTTTAAAGGTTAAGTGTTCGTGCGCGCAACTGATGGTCCTGTGTTCGAGTTCTGCGTGTAAGATCATGCGCACTGTTGAAGAGTCCCGTACTAGGACGAAATGGCCGGTGCTTCCAGGTCTTTTTATTTTCAGTCCTACCACATTATTTCCACTCCTTTATTATTCATTACGGCCATTTCAACTCGTTATGTTAATGTGATGCAGAAGCTTAGGTCATCTTATATTTATTGTAGACTGTTGATTATAACTAATTACTGACTCTTCACCTTCTATATATATATATATATATATCCCCAAATGCCCTGATAAGGCCGAGAGTGGGGAGAGTCCGCTCTCCCTCTCGAAATGCTCTCACATGTCCACGTGCATACAACCACTACCAGGGTAGTCCTACTCTCTGCCTTCTCGTGGCGGGGTTGTTGTTTACGAAATCGACAGGACGAAAAGCTAATGTCCAGCACTTTAAGCGTATTGGTGGATACCGAGGATCCACCTAGGGTAGTTGATTCCAAACCAATGGTGCACATTGGTTTCAGGATCCTAAGGAAAAAAATGGCGTATGAGCCTACTGTTTGTCACCGACTACTATGGGACTGCATCTCCTTAGGTTACTCCACTTCCTTGTGGATTAGACCTTTAGATCAAAGGCTCGGGATGTGGCCTCCTAAGAAAATCATCTACTTCAGTTTAGTCACCCGGGAAGTATCCTAGCCCTAACATAAATGGAATGATTTATGTGGAGCATATCTATTCAGTCCGTCTTTGTACCAATGTTTATGTGTTTAAATAAATTATATATATACATATAGTTGTTTATGTCTAACATGCCAGTTCAACCTCGTGCATACTTACAAATCATGATATCTATCCATTCTCATTGATAATTTTATGAACAATCAATCCAATTATGACTGTCCTCATCCGCTAATATTTGCATAAACTCTAACTAGTGATCCGCAATTAGTTATTATTATTACTATTCTATCAACAGTTAAATGATTACATAATCAAAATTTGATCGGTTTGTCATTAATATACAATATGAAATAGTTGGAACAATGTTATTCTGTTTGATTGATTTAAAAACAATAAAAAAATGTTTGACACCATTTATGTATAATTGAGAGGTAGGTACTTACTAACATGGTAACAATTAAAATAGTAATATTGTATGTCATTAGTTCCGTTTACTTTATTGAATGGTGCAAGAATTGACTAATTATTGATTTAATTTAATGATTTATTCATAGGATAAGAGTATAATTGTTTCGATGATAAAATTCGCTTATTTTCAAATTCACAGAACAATGTATTAATGTGTCATTATTAGTGTGCTTATGTTATGAATTAAGATGCTAATCAATATCACGTGTTATATTACCTAGTTAACATTCCGATTGTCAATTAGTTACCAGTAAGATTAGTGATTTTTAACTGCACAGACTAATGAACTACAATCAAGGCGTTAACACACTTATTAGTCCTCAAGCTTCTTCTAATCTCAATGATCAATCAGAAGATGATGATAGGATTCAGATTAGTTCTCTATTGTATCCAATTCAATTATGACTTAAAAGTTATACAAAAATATACTTAAAATGACAACACAGCATACTAAATAAGAAATGTTGCTGTAAATAAAATTATGCCGAGAGTGGACTAAACAGACCGTAACTAAATTAGCAATAACTAAGGAATACTCAAATATGTAACGACAGTTAATAGGTCCACTGAGAGCTTACAATTAGGGAAGTACAGAAATGCGGCATTACAGTTGTCTACTAATTATACCATAAAAGTATAGATAATAACAATTTGAATGGTAGTTTTGAAATCGCCAACTTTTCTAATATTTTCATCCCGTTATAACAGCTGGAGATTGTTAAATTTTGAATTTTTACATTATGATGAATATCTTCAATGGTCATGGAATATAGCGAATTGAATGAAGCGAGGGTTGTAAATTATTGAATGCTATTTTTTTGTTTTGAAGTGTAGACACTCATTGCGATGCCTACAGGTCCTAGATTCAATCTCTAGTTGAGTTGTGGGCCGAATTCCTGATGAGTTCCATGCTTCGATAAAACAAGTGTTCTGTATTGCCTGATTTTTAATCTTTGCTTAACCTACATAAAATAAATACTCTGGCACGTTTGAGAATAAGGAGAGTTCACTATTCCTCTAGCGTTTGTTAAGGAATACTCACTCACTACATTCACACAGCAAGTGTGTTGTTTACAAAAATGAGAGAAATAAAACCGAACGTCCGTCAGTTAAATGAAGGTTGGTAGACAACAGGAGTTCATCTAGGGGAGTTGAAAAAACCCCGATTCCAAACTAATGATGCAGATTGGTATCAAGGTTTCGAGCGAACAAATGGCGTACGAACCTACTATGTTTATCGACTACTATCAAAATCCATTATTTAACGTTCCCCTACTGGCTTGTGAATTAAGTGTCTACATCAAAAGCTCTACGTGTGGTTTCAAAATAAATGAACACATTCTATTATCCTGACTCTTTCTATATCCCATATCTTGACAACCTTTAATGCTTCTTCTTCTTCTTATTATTATTATTATTATTATTATTATTATTATTATTATTATAATCATTAGTGAACTAACAACACCATCAATTATTGTACAAGTTTATATTTTTTATCTCATAAAGTTTCTATTAAAATAGATGTATAATAAAAGGATACTACTTCGTTACCTACTTACCCACCTACCTATCTGGCTCCCTACCTACCTACCTATCAACTTACTTAAGACATAAATATAAATGACTTGAATGTCCTATTAATCATAGCAACAGAATAATAATAATAATAATAATAATAATAATAATAATAATAATAATAATTGTCATTATTACATAGGATTGTTTATCTAATCAATAAAATTAATGTATTTATGTTTACTTTTGTCGAGAGGAAAAAAAAGGCACAATATGAAATAAACAGAATAAATACCATTCGATAAATATCATAAAATTTCATTGGTATTCGTTAAAATTATTACATAACTATTTTTTTTTTTTTTTGAATGGTACAATTAGTTGGTTGTATATGATAATCAAATTGATAAGTTACTAACAGTACTAAACTAAGCCTTGATTTTAAATGGAATTAAATTTTGTGTGGATTAGTTGTGTTCTCTGATCTCTATTGGGTAATTTTACTATCTTTCTACTTAATATAATCATCAGCACTTATTCCGATTAGAGATAAGTTGTTTGTATTCTAAAAAAAAGAAATTAACTAACAACTCGTTTTTCTAGTTTAAATCACAAATTGATCTTAGCTAGACTACCATTGAAAATTAGAAAACATTGAACAGCTTTAGATGTTGTACATCAACGGATTCCGGCTCAGTTGCCTAGGTGTTAAACGTTCACAATCCCTTTGTTAGAATCGTGGTTGTGTTTTGCCACTGAGAAGTCCCATACTAGGATGCTATAGCTATCAAATGCTTTCTGGTTTTCAATGGTAATCTAGATAAGACCGTTTCGTGATTTAAAACTTCAAGAAAGTTTACTGTCTCTGCAAACACTAATGTATTAAATTAATAGCAAATTGTTGTGTTAATACATTTGTTTTATCATTGTATATTTGCACATTTTTCATCACTTGTCTCTTACAAACTTGATTGTTCCTTCATTTCTGTTGTTATTAAAAGTACTCTCTGTTTACATTCCTGTTCTCTGCAGTTCTGTCTTCTCAACATTCTGTTGCTAGGCATTCCACTTATGATTGGTGCTACATACATCACATATTTATTTCCATGATCTCCCTTGATCTCATAGTTTCTAGTTTTTTTTTTCAATTGACTAATAAATTGGATTGGTTTTTATATGTTTTATTAGTGCTTGATTGTTAAACTTTTAGTTGTTATAACATTCCCCATACTCTCTTCATCTTAGATTTCAAATGATCGAAGTATCATTGACTAAACAGACATAATTGTATCTTATATAAATATTCGTCAAAATTTGAATGAACGGTTCGATAGAAATTAGGCATAAAATGTATACACAAAACATTAAACTATATTAAATTGTATTTGAAATCATTTCAGTGATTGAAATTTCAGTAATTCCAATGTTTCTCCCAATCTGGTTGTTAGAGTTTCTTTAAGAAAATAATAAAAATCATGAATGTATATTTAGGGATCAGATTGTGTCTACAAGCTAATGCCTGTAGACTTGTAGTTCGAAAGAATTGTCAACAAACATTAGATGACCAATGGGTAATTTCTGATATATTGTTATGTCCCGACAAGAATAATGAACGGTAACTTTTAAGATCCATTTATGGATCAATACTATACGTATATTTTTATCGTATAATTGTTAATTAACTAAACTATTGATATTCATATTCCTCTTATTATAAGCTTTGTTTTGACCTATGAACTGTTATTATATGATTTACCATTCTTGAATTATGCCCTGTCTATTAATTACTACCTCCCACATTCACAGCCATATTTGGCTAGTTCTTGTACAAATGTTATTTTCCATTTTATGATACGATGTCATCTGTCTTGTTGGTATATAAACCCAGTATGTTTGAAATAAATGATTCATATTGCAGAGGCTGAAATTGGTGTTCTGGATTTAACTGACTGGGCTAGGCGGAAAGCAGGACCAATCAGAACTCTAGACTGCTCACACGTGTTTTACGCGTACATGGTCCAATCGATAATTCAATGCTCTCTAATCGGCGGTCACAACATATAACATATATTTAATATATTATTGTGAATATTCAATTCTAAATGACATTCAACAGAGAACTATTCATCATCAAGTATAATTGGATTTCCTTTTCGTCTTTGTTGGAGACTCAAACGTTCATGTTAATAATTTGACATAGGAAGGTTTGTTAGCTTAGTACTACTTCTAAGACTTTAACACGAGAGACTAACTGATCCAACATACAAGTTTAATTATATCTTTCAAATTTAACTGAGAAAGAGAAATCTGACACTTAATCTTGTTTACTAACACTAGTCGTTCGAGAAATTCCCCTCCAATAGTCTGAAACTAATATTTAGTTTATGAAAGTGTTCCATTTAGTGACAGATATACAAGTTTATAGTAGCCCGATAAACACACTATCTTCTAATAAACACATTCCTGATATAGTCACATATGATAAATTGTTTCTTTGAAGTTTGATACATTGAATTTCATACTAGTCATTCATTCATAGGTTGATTTCAATGACCGATGAGTTTACTTTTCTTACTAGACAAATTAATCTTGTTTCATCAATCATAAGAAAAAAACCTCCGTTTAGTTACATGTTTCTAATTTCATACTTGTATGAAGCAATCGTAAGTTTACTCTAACCCCCCCCCTCCTAGCTAAATCGTTTCAATATTCCCGAAATAAAATTAGCAAATAACGTCCTAGATTCAATGGAAGTATGTCTTTACAATTAAAATTATCAAATGTTTAGTTTATTTGAATGAACATGTATGATTTAAATATTATTACTTATTTTGGACAATCAATTCTATTAGATCGTTGGAGGTAGTCCACAAGAAACCCCTGAAGACCTAGATCTCACGCTATTATGCAATGGTTGCATAGCTTTTAAGTCTTCTAACTTTCAGCTACTTTGGTGTTTTTAATAATATATATCTTTGTTTTTTCGACTGGTTCGAATGCACATTGTTTTCCTTTCCTTCTGTTCTTGTGTCTGATTTGAGAGGAATCAAGTGAAGTATGGAGTACGTTTATCGACTATTAGACAGTAGAATAACATAGCAGGTTATTTTAAAGAATTCAATCATTTTCCTAACAAAATTAATTAATTACTTTAGCTATAGTTAGTAAGTAGTGATAGGTGTCTGATTGAACTAAGTTAACATATTCTGGATTTTCACCTATATAAATCTAGATTTGTTCTCAAGTCAGTTGAGTATAATAAACATGGTTGTGTTCGCGCGCGAGACCAGTAGGTCCTGGGTTCGAATCGCGCGAGGCGGGATCGTGGATGCGCACTACTGAGGAGTCCCACAATAAAACGAAACGGCCGTCCAGTACTTCAAGGTTTTCCATGGTGGTCTAGCTTTAATTGACTCATGATCTCAACAATTGAAATTATAACAGACATTCTTAAATACATAACGATCTAAAATTACATATAAACGTAAATATAATTTTCTTGAAGTTTTCACTTAGCATAATCTCAGTTGATATTCGTCTTGAATCTTTTGTAAAAAAAGAAGATAATATTATTCTGTGTTCTTTTTTTTACTTCAGGGTGTTTGTTGTGGTGATCATCTTCATTGTTGTCCATCTGGTTCAATTTGTGATTTGGATACAAAACAGTGCATTTTACAAATTGAATTCAATCAATCTACCACAAATATAGTTTATGATGGGTTTACTATGCACAAAGCTAATCAAAAGTTATCAGGTAGTTTATATTCACGACCAGTAAAATCTGTTAGTACTACTGATACTTCTGTACAAGCAAAATGGTGTGGAGCATGTGGCGACACTTGGGCTTGTTGTCCAGATGCTACTTTTAATTCATGGTCATGTTGTCCTTATGTAGGCGTAAGTTACAATGATAATTTTTATTGGATTATTATATTATATTGATAGGTCTTACTACCGAAACGTTTAAACTGTCTTCCCAGTTAGTTCCGATAACCTAAAATTACTTCTACACATCAACTGGAACACTAGGGAGAAAAAAACACGAATCGCGAATAAAAGCTTTACTTCAAGGTTAGTTTATGCAATCGACCAAGTTGTAATATAGCCACTAGTCTAGGTGACTCGACATTTCATGCACTGTGTTGTGATAAGATGGTGTTTGGAGGTAGTCAACAGGTAACCCTGGACCTAGGTTTCGTGCTGTTTGGCACTCGTCAGCATAGTTTACCTGTAATCATGAGGGAACTGGTGCTCCCTGATGGATTCGATCCCGTGTCACCCAGCTTCACAGTCAGAGACGTTAACCCGAATTATTCTTATCTTTTATGGATTTTGATGAATAGTTATTATCCATGTGTTATACATTTTTTTAAACTCAATTATTTACTACTTAATTGGTTTGTGTAGACTGTAGGAATATCTATTTTATTGTTAATTTAGGGAGAATGTTGTATTGGACAAAATACTTGTTGTCCACCTGGATCACGTTGTTTAAATAATGGGAAATGTGAAAAGATCCCAAAGAATATCTTTAAATCATCTGCACCTACTTTAATACCATCTATTTCAATGAATAACAATATACAAAGATCACATTTCATTAAACAAAATAATGCAAAAGAAAATTTCCCGATAGAAATGTCCAACAGTGCTAAACCTGCTCAAAGGAATATCCTTCTTCTGTAAGTAGATTTTCTTTCCATTTTTTTTTGTACGTTGAGAATGGTTTTTCTTGTGGTCTGTATCTGATGTTATTGAAAGTTGATTATAGAGCCTGTTTATTGACTTGTTCATTTTAAGGTCATTTGATCAATGATTTTATGTTTGACCGACAATACTATGATGTTTATTTGACCAAATAACTCAATGACTTAATCAATACAAGAATAATTTCACATTTTATGGTTTAAAAACTCCTTCTTACCCTAGTGTCAAACTAGAAAATGATGTTAAGAGCGAGGTTTCAGTAGACCTGGGACAGTGTTTCGTGCACTAGAATCATTGGCCATGGTTACACTTGAGGAGGAAACCAAAAGAGGAAGTTTAGAATTGAAAGTCGACGTACAAGGAATTATGGGAACTACAGAGGGAGATTGATATTGAACGCAGTGATCTTGAGTGTTGTTACAGATATGAGAGTGGTTTTCACTTCCCGGTTGCCCACACACCGTGGAAGGGTTCTTCTAGAAGTAACTGAAAATAAAATTCGGTTAGAGTTGGTCTTAGTCATCTGAGAACGTGACCACAGTGCACAAGGTATAACTGCTTGAGATCGGTCACACACGAACTTTCTGTGAGTAATTTTCGTGTTAGTTCCTTACTTGTTGAGACCTTGTGGTCAGGCGGCATTGTTGTTATGCTGGTTGTTTGAGGGAAACAGCTTACTGCCGTCACACATCTGTACAGTCAGCAGTACGACTTTGCACTCGGACGTTGGGTTTGCTGCTTTTAGACTTACCACTCTTCACCCATCATATCGGGTATGATGGGACCTTGAAGAACAACTTTTCCAGCCAGTATATCTCGATTATTTCATCACGATAAGCAAGCTTGACCATCACATCAAGGTAGCAGCAACGGTTGGGATGTTATGGGACAGATTTAATCGTCTATTAGTTCCTATTGGTCTCTATTCAAAAACTCAGGGAAATATGTATAATAATTTCCTGGCCATGAAGTATTACAAATTAGGAACCCAAATGCGGGATCAATCCATGGAAACACTATCTGTTGAACTTAGCCCTATAGTGGTAGTTGGAGATTGCTTGGCTGAGGTTCGCGTGCTTATTATAACCAAACGGTTGAAAACTTTAGATGAAATGATAGATTAGAATCATTTACAATGGTGCAAGTGCATTCACTCTTTTTTTTTTCCCTTAAATCCACACTCTAAATTACCTTATAAATGTTTTTCTTATCCCGATAAACCATATTTTGTTCTCAAGTCATATCTTCGATCTATAATCTTTTCTATTACCACTAATACCGTTACTACCTTCTATTATTTTTGGGTTTGCCCTGACAATTCGGTCTGGTTGTGCTCATGAAGTGTGACAAATTGAACCCATATACACACATGTACCAGATTCTACGTTGTGTAACACTGATTGACTGATTGATTGAATTTGTACACAACGTAGTTGTAAATGATACAAAACTGGATGATCTGTTTATAATTAACTAAGAATAATTTATTAACACTGAATTATGTAACAAGGGTTTTCACTTCAAATGGAATGTTATTTTCGTCCTTTACACTAATGATAGGCTTTTAGGTTGTTAGTTCAAATCATCACTGTCGAACCATTTTCGCGTTTGGGATGATTCTTTCACTTCAAATGAAAAATGTTACTCTAAAACTTTCCTGCATTAACGCCAGTTGAGTATATTGATTGCTTCAGTTTCATCAGTCCTAATGAGCTTGTGTCTGATGAAGAAAATCTGGATTCGTATTTTCCAACTAGTATCACTTGTAATGTAAGCAAGATATCTGTCTGCCAATTGAAGGATGAGTTTACTACACAATAGTTCACTTCGTTCTACTTTATGTGTGTGAAACATTGTCATCAGGGTAATGGAATGTTCATATGTTAGTAGTATTCGATCATAAGTGTCTTCGAAACATCGCTCGTGTATTTTGAGTTGACTGAGTGGGCATTACTGAGGTTAGGGATAGGATAATAGGTAAAGATGACAAGTCAATTGATGAGGTAGTAAATCCTCATCAACTGAGGTGGTTGGAACATGTGTCGGAGTAGACTGGATGAAATCTAGGGCGCCCAAACCAAAATATCACATCAATCTATGAAACGAATGACAATTGAACTGAGCCATGTTTATGGATGTAGACTACCTGATTGGGGTCCGCGTAATTATCGTAATTGATTGTTAAAGACACTATGTTATACAGCTCAAAACCGTTTATAATAGCACAAATGCATTCACTTCTGGTTTGCCTCTATAACATAACTCCCTAAATCTCATTAAGCCTTTATGTCTTTTTGTATGTACAATTACTAGTTCTACTACTCTGAGATTTGCCTTAAAATAATCCTATCTTATTGTGCAAATGTAGTATGGTAGATTGAATCGATACACATATATGTCAGGTTCTATATTACATATGACTGCGCCTAGTCATTGAAACAATTAACTAGCATCGTCTTAGTCCGAGATTACCTACAAAATGAACAAGTTCCAAACATTCTCTATAGATTTTATACAGTTTACCTTGAATTTTATTACAAGAACCTTTACTGGTACTTGGGGGGTTATATTAAAATTACAATATTTCTAATTCATTTTCTTTTCTCAATAAATACATAATAGTGTTCGTCATTATCGACGTCTTAAACGACAATTGCATACAATTTGCCCTGATTCATTACACTATTGTGGTAAATCTGAACAATGTTGTCTTTCTAATCAATTTGGCTATACATGTACACCGAATGAGGTATGTTGTTTACTTTTTATTGTATTTTTATTCTGAATCAATGATAATTGTAATTTTTATTAATTATTGTTATTTTGCACACTGAAAGGTTATTAGCTAACGAAATAAATTACTATGACTTTAAGTATCTAAAGTGATTTGTGAAATTAAGATTGATTATATATATTCGCTATTCATCCTCTCGATTTGGTAAGCAACACCACCACTGTGAGAAAGCAGTGGCTATATGGGAGAATTTCGAGAGGGGGAGCGGACTTCCTTCACCGTCGACTGTACTAAGGCATTTGGGGGTGGATGTCCAGCACTTTAACCGGGTTGGTGGATATAAAGGGTTCACTTTGGGAAGTTGAAAAACCCTGATTTTAAACCAGAATCCTGATGTCATCGGTTACCATGGGATTGCATCTCTTGACGTTGCTTCACTGTCTTGTGGATTATACCTCTGGGTGAAAGTCTCGAGGAATGGCTGGCCCCCCAAGGAAATCACTTTCATCGTTTTGGGCACCCGAGCAATATTGCAGTCCTTACACACAAATCGTATGATTTATGTAGCGCATATACATTTGGTGCCTCCTTGTAACAATGTTTATGTGTTTAAATAAATAATTGGGACTGATTACAGACCGTGTTAAAGTCATCAAAGCAGACATATTGAATGTTTAAAATTCAATATTATATGTTTATTTATTGTTACATATCTATTTTCACTACATAAAATGTTATCTTCATATAAATGGTGTCGGGAAAAATAATTGATTATTGTTGTCAGAATGGAGATTTGTGAAGATTGTATTAATTTTAATCGTTGAATTAATGAGTTGATCTAAGCTAGACCACCAGTGAAAATCTAGACACATCTATGAGCACTTTCGATGCTTGACTCATGAATTCAACTAATAAGATAATTGTTGTTCTATGTTGTTATCTTGAATTTTTTTTTTGTTCTTTTTTTTTTTTTAAAAGTCCATATGTTGTGAATCTAGTATGAATACTTATTGTCCAATATCCAAGGATTGTTCTATAGACGGGAAATTTTGTGTTGATAAATATTAGTCTCATTATCATCATAGTTATTTATGATTGGATGATTATGTAATCGTCTATTCATCACTTACTATCATCATTCTGTTTGTGTGTGTGTGTGTATGTTTATGGATTACTACAATTCTTGCCATTATTATAAATTTGAATTTGTAACATCTCTTATCCATGTTACTTTTTGTGATTCTATTTAATACAAAATTCAATTCTCATTCTATTACTGTTCATTATTTTTCTATTGTTGAGATATTTTCATCTCTTTATTCAATAAATTTCATTCTGTGCTATTAATATTGAGGATGTTGTTTTATATATACTTGATCTGTAATTAGTTTTATACTTCAATGTAGTTGATTTCATATGTGAATTTACATTCACTTGACTAGTTTCGGTTACTTACTTACTTACTTACGCCTGTTACTCCTCGTGGAAAAGCATAGGTCGCACTCTTTATCCAACCTTATCCTGGGCAATGTTTTCCAGCTCTTTCCAGTTCTTATTCATCCTTTTCATATCTGCCTCTATTTCCCAACGTAATGTGTTTTTTGGCCTTCCTCTCTTCCGCTACCCTTTAGGATTCCAAATTAGGGCTTGCCTCGTGGTGCAGTTTAATGATTTACGTAATGTATGTCCTATCCACTTCCATCGTCTTATCCTAATTTCCTCTTTAACTGGAAGCTGGTTTTTTCTCTGCCACAGTAGGCTGTTGTTGATGGTATCCGGCCAATGAATATTAAGTATCTTTCGTAGACAATTGTTTATAAATACTTGTACCTTCTTGATGGTGGTTGTTGTAGTTCTCCAAGTTTCAGCTCCGTGCACTGGGACTTTCTTGACCTTCGTATTGAAGATTGTGAATTTGATATTGGTTGACAGTTGTTTTGAGTTCCATATATTGTTCAATTGAAGGAATGCTGTCCTTGCTTTGCCAATCCTCGCCTTTATGTCTGGATCGGATTCTCCTTGTTCACGGATTTTGCTTCCCAGGCACGTGAAGGATTCCCGGTTACATAGAATAAAATATACATCGTAATATTTCACAACTAGCTACAAATCATTCTCAATTCTGTTCACAGGTTAATACCTTCTTAATTGATTATTCTTTAAAACATAAAAAAATTTATAGACTATCGTTTTTTAGTTACTTGTTAGTTGTTTACATCTGATAACTCTATTCAGACATTCAACTACACAATTGAAATACACATGAAACAGGCTTTAAAATAATATGTACAGAATGGTTTAATCGCTAACGAATATATATCAGTTGGTTACAAATCTCAACTTGAGAAGTATCTATGACGATTAATGCTTCTATATGTCCGGAAGAAGAAATGCTTCTTTTAGTAACCACATAAAAAGTAATACAATACACGATACCGAAAATGACCACCAGTAACTATGTCAACAATCAAAGTGGATACTAAGAAACATATAAATAAAAGGGGTTTTCACGTTTAAACAAAGATACAAGAAATATCCTTTTTAACAAGAAACTGGAAATAATTGTTATTAGTTCATGTAAATACTTGGTGTTACACAACGGTAAATGAAAGCTACATTATAAATTGCTAGAAATGGGACTGTCTACTGAATATTAATTAGTAGTAGAAATCAATACACGAGTGAAAGGAGAATAATGAATGAAAATATCCGTCATTAGCTGGAATGTAGATCTGATCTTTCAGATAATGATCCGTTTAAATTGTACAGTAACATATTTTGTCCACACTATGTTTAAGTTGTTCATAGTGGTCACCAGATAAACACAACTGTGTATGAAGAAATGTCTTGTTTTAGTTGAGATCCAATTGAACGAAAGTACACTGTAACAATAAAGGTGTGTTTGGTACAATTGTCGACTTTGAACAAGAGAGGCCTTCTAAACTTTTTATTCATTCATATTGTATCACGAGTGTAGGTTGACTCAATTTGTCGTCTTGTATTAACACGATAAGGTGATTGGCAAGAGAATCGAAATGATGTAGTAGCAATGGTAATGAACTTTGAGAATAGGTTCTGAGAAGAATGACGAGAAAGGTATGTGTGAAGGAATACTGGAATTGAAGATCGAGAGGAGGATAAAGAGTACATGCCACCTCACCATTGTGGTCGATCTAGAGACATGTCACATCTCTAACCACTGAGAGAGGTTGGTTCGCGTACCACAATCAGCTAATCGGGATCTATCTACTAGGCTCAGACCAAAAATTAATAGTCTTCATATAACCGTTAAGATAACTGTAATGAATTTGCTTGATTATAATTTCCGATACGTCATGGCCCGCTACAATATGAAGAATTACTACATACGTCACTTTTTCCGCGTTGGTCCAGAATCACAACCAAGTACAGCCTACGTGTAGCGTGCTTTGTCATTACCAACAGATGCTGATTCCTATTAAACGTCTTATATCATCTTATTGATTACTAGAGGCGATTTTGAGAATTTTATCAACGTCTCTTCACATGATGGAAATTCAGGGATGCTATGAAAATTGATATAGTCAAACACTTGTTTACAGCCCAACTATAGCGCTTATTCAATAGCATGATAAGTTATTCAAAGTCATAACGGTCATAGTTTTTCTTATCAGCCCAGATATTTCTCTTTTCATCATCTAATTTCTATTATGTTTAAACTTCCAGGTTGGAAACGTTTTGTAATAACTATAAACACTATATTTGTCAATAACACAATAAATGGTATAACTTAGAAAGCAATTTTCACCACGTCAGTTTCGGAGACGCTGTGTTGAACCATTTATCTTGTTAGATCATGTCAACATTCCGTTTTCTAGTGCCCGCATAACCATATTGTTACCCTTTCGCAGTTGTATCGTATGGGATCTATAGTTCATGGTTGAAATCCAGTATCAGTGAGAGTATTGAACGAAAACAGTTGAGATTGTCATATTGTTGTATCAGTGAATAAAACTCATTGTAATCGCTAGATGGGATCATGAAATAATCACAAGTCGATAACTGTTGAATGACAAGTAACACTCGATACAAGTTTCGTGTTAATTCGGGACTCTTCATCAATGGGTATCAGATTATTACTTCATTTAAGGATAGGTGTAGTGTGTATAATCTTTATGACCCCATGACACAGAAATACAAACTACATGTAATCTACTACGTAAGTTGAGACAGATATGGTCAATACTATATAAGATCATAGGCTGCTCTCTTCATATTCATACAAGTAAAAACAAGGTGTTTGTTCATATCAATGTTTGTTGGTAATTGTTCGTGTGAATCGGACTTGTAAATCGTCAAAATAGTCGACAGAGACAATACAAATAAAATCAGAGGATAGTTAGCTAGTTACTTACTTACGCCTGTTACTCCCAATGGAGCATAGGCCGCCGACCAGCATTCTCCAACCCACTCTGTACTGGGCTTTCCTTCCCAGTTCTGTCCAATTTTTGTTCATTTTTCTCATATCTGTCTCCATTTCTCGACGTGATATGTTCTCTGGTCTTCCTCTTCTCCTTTGGCCTTGAGGATTCCAAGTAAGGGCTTGCCTTGTGACGCAGTTCGGTGCTTTCCTCAATGTGTGTCCTATCCACTTCCAGCGCTTCTTCCTCCGATGGAATCTGATTTGTTCTCTTCCACAGTAGGTTGTTGTTGATAGTGTCTGACCAACAGATCCGAAGTATTTTGTGTAAACAACTGTTAATAAACACTTGTATCTTCTGGATGATGGCTTTCGTAGTTCTCCAGGTTTCCACCCCATACAGTAGAACTGTTTTGACATTTGTATTGAAAATTCTGAATTTCGTGTTGGCTTGCGGACAGTTGTTTTGAGTTCCAGATGTTCTTCAGTTGTAAATATGCTGCTCTTGCTTTGCCGATCCGTGCCTTCACATCTGCATCAAAACCACCGTGTTCATCAATGATGTTGCCCAGATATGTGAAGGTTTTTACATCTTTCAGTCTTCTCCGTCAATTATGATTCGATTGTAACACGCTGTGTTGTATCGGAGAATATTTACACTATCTGGTTACTGATAAGTAACCAGTGTCATTTTATCTATTCTAGATTGCCAATCTTATTCACATTAAGAGAATACAATCTGAGGTAATCATCGAAAAACAGAGTATGTTTTATGTTAATTTGGAAATGCTGGGGTTTTCTTTGCTAGTAGTAGCTTATATGAAATCTAGCATGAAGAAACTCTTTCACTGACCTGTGAATATGTTACGAGAAATCATTAGTTTGTGACTATACATCAAATCTTCTTCAAAAACAGTATGATAAAACACACTGGTAATTGTAAACATCTGTTTTTGATAAACTAATGTATGAAAATCAACACAGGGATTCAAATACACCACAGCGACATGTTTCGAATATGATAGGATGAGTGTTTTGGGTTATATTGAAAGCCACTATATAAATACACCAAAACTCATAACTTAGAGGTCGAATGAAAGTCATCCTCTCAGGTTACACAAATGTGAATGAAGACTGTTCAGTTTTAGTCTTTAAAATTAACAACGATAAAATGCCAAACCCTTGGATATGCATCGTTAATAATAATGAGATAATGAAACAATCATTGATAATAAGCAGAGATAATGGGATGGTGGTTAACAGTGGAATCTATGATGCACGTTTCGTCCTATTTGGAAGTCGTCAGATGAATATACCTGCATCACTGTTAATATTATATTTATGCAACAGAATTCACCAATGAATTTAATAGTGAAAAAGTTCAAATTTTCAGCCTTTAAATCCAGATGAATTTGGTTATATTATTATTGTTTGGAGGTAGTCAACAGGAGACCTTTGACCTGGGTATCGTGCTATTTCTCACTCGTCAGCAAGATGTACCTGTTATCATGAGGAAACTAATGCTCCCTGATGGATTCGAACCTCATGAGACGGGATCGTGGATGAGCACCGTTGATAAGCCGCATACTAGGAAGAAACGCCCGTCCTGTGCATTCATGTTTTCCATGGTAATCTATCTTTAATTGAATCATGAGTTCAACTATTAAATGGTGAGTAATTATAAAGGTGAAATGATCATATTCTTCAAAAATTATTCATAGGAATTGAATGTATTGAATGCTGTTTATAGGTCCAATTAAACACGAAAATACCTCTGTAATGTTTAAATGATATTCTTGAAATATTTTGTGATATATATTTATACTACTTATATGTTGGTTAGTATAATTTGTCTGTATTCAGAAAGAAAATTAGATAAGTGTTTTGGCAAGACTATAATTTACGAAAGAACCAATCAGATTTGGGATAACAGGTTTCGAATTTCGGCACAAAATCCACTCACTCATTTGGCTAAAGATCATTTTGGCATTATAGCAGATGGAAATCCGTGATGTAAACATTAAATCTCAAATGTAAATCCTAATCCTAATTCACCACAGTAATCTATCATTCTCATTTAATCGTAGTAAGTAGATGAACATTCGAAAGTCATTTTAGTGCTGCTCAAAGGTCATCCATCAATTATGGTCTCACCGGATTTATTATTAATAAGCTTAGTATTTCAGTACAATGGTTATCAATCTGATAACAGAACATGTTTTCATGTAGAGTTGTGTATACGAAGTCTCAATAATATAACTTTATCAATATGTAAGGTTTAATCGAATACATCAGTCATACATACAAATTGTATATTGTGGAAAATCAAACAATCAAATTCTTATCCCTACCACACATTTATTAATGAAAATCACATTTCATAGTTGAGTTCATGGGTCAATTGAAGCTAGATCACCATAGAACACCTGTAAGCACTGGACGGACGTTTCGACTTAGTATGCGATTCCTCCATGTCAGTACTCATCCACGATACCAACCCATGCACGAGCGCTTAACCACTAAACAACTGAGCCCGCCGGCCGGCCAGCCGGCATCCAACACTGTTCATGTCTAACTTAAACCAATCCACAAAATCGAGACACACATCCACCATGGTCTCCAATCAGTTACTATCTCACAACACACACAGTTGGAATCCACTGGTAACAAATTCTCACTAGAACTACAGGAAATATCTCCTGCAACAAGTCACTAGTGAATTCCTCAGGAGTCACACAGTAGGACGAAACACACGTCCAATTCTTCCACCAATTCCACAGTGGTCTACATCCAATTCACTCATGAACTCAACTACTAAATTACTATAATATCTACAAAAACACATTCTGATGAAAATCATATTGTTCAATTATACTCCTAACAAGACCATTTTATAATGAAAGTATGTTCATTTGTTTTTAATAGCACACTCACACACACACACACAAATTCATTGATTAATCTAACTTGATTCTGGTTTACTCTTGTTATTTCAGGTCAACGAATTCATTCTTTACACTAAACATTCCAATGTTCCGATATTTTCTGCTTTATTCATCTATTCTGCTAATAACATCACGCCATTATTCAGTATTCTGTGTAACCTTGATGAAAACAACACTGGATTGTGGTGTGAATTCTAATGAAACTGGATCAA